ATTAAAATATAATCATTATCAAACCATTCTAAATAATAAATATTTATTAAATATTAAAATTAATAAAATTATTAAAATATTATTTTAATTATAATAAATTTAAACTTACCAATTCGATGAATATAATTTTTTATTTCAGAATTATTAGTTTTAGCTACATGAAGAACACCCAATATGTCTTGACCATATAGATGTAAATTTTTATAAGCTTTTGCAACTAAAATTTGTAATTTGTCAACATTATTCAATGATTGGTGAATATTAGATAAAGTTTCTGATTTGAAGTAAGCTTTAATTAAACTGCCTATAAAATAAATAAAATTATTATATTATAAATTAAATAAATAAATAAATTTAATATAAATACAAAGAATTTATACTTGATTGAATATTTCCAGAAGTAACTATATCATTATCATTAATAGTTTGACGAATTAATGTTTGAAAATTTAATTTTATATCTGCTGGAATTTTTTCTGGGGGAGGAGGAGGATGATTATGTATTCTGATACACACTAGTGCAATAAATGGACAAGCAGTAAGGTCTTGAGGAGTAAACTTGTAAAATTTTACTGAACATTTTGTTTGAATAATTTCACCCCGATCAATTTTTCCATTAGGTAAATTATGAATATAATCTAAATGAAAATATAATTTATAAAATATTTTTAAAATAAATTTTAAAAAAAATATAATAAATAAAATTACCACATTTTTTCTTTTAGATGATCTATGCAATAATGTTAAACAATAAGGTAAATTTTCTTCTATCTAAAATAATTAATTAATATTATATTATTAAATTATTAATTATTATAAATAAATATATTAAATAATATATAAATAAATATAATATACCTCAGCTTTCTCAGAAGTAAATCTTGAAAAAGAACAATATCAATATTCTCGGGATCAATTTTTATATAGCGATGCCATTTATCTCCAATTCTATACATCGAACACTGGGGTGTCACATCGACTATTTAATCAAAACTATGTCAGTTACATTGATAATTTTATTATGATTAGATTTTATCAGTAAAATTAAGGTAATTAATCGAATAAAATTTTACTTTACTTATTTATAAAGAAAAGTG